CGACATACATCAACCACAGCCACTGTAATGCTCTCCGCAGCACCTGCACGTTTGCCACCTTTAGTAAGACCCAAAGAAATTACTGCAGTGTGAGAAGACAGATCCACTGTTACATCCTTGTTCCTAATGGCAAGAACTTCCCCAGTACGAAGCATTCCGTAAAAACCCAGAAGGAGGGACAGAGCCATTGCGTGTCTTCGATGAAAGAGGAAATATCCGACAACACACTGCAACACTTTCTCAGGAAAAGGAGGGGCACGGTTAGGTAACTCATTCACACTCCAGGTTTTCAGGAGCCGCCACGCTCCCGGAATGGCACCCCTGATCCGTGGGCTTGTATCCTGAAGAGAGGCTAGGGTATCGGACGCTAAGGCCCGGCCTTCCCCAGTGGCCCACAGATGTTCAAGGTATTCACAAAGAAGAGGATCAAAGAGAGAGAGTTTCCGAGGAATTTCAATTTGGTTTTTGTCTAAGAAGCTGTAGAAACGATCCTTTGCCTTGTCATATCTAGCTCGAGTACGAGGTTGAATGGTCAACCCCCGGAGAGTACCCATTTGTTTGCGCACCTGAACCCTTTGCTGCTGTGTACGGCCTTCTAACCTTTTTTGACCTTTCCCCATTTCCGTACCTTACACCGCCGACTTGGGCGGTCAGCTGGGTTCTGGGAGGTGTGAACATAGGTCCACACCGGGTGAAGATTGGCCGCCAGCAGCAGGGTATTCAAGCGCATCATGGTTCTCCGTAACCTTTTGCTCGAGCTGCGCCCTCGTGAGAGAGCATGAAGGACAACAAGGCTGTCTACCAAATGGAGACATCGGCAGTTATAGGAACGTTTTTTGATGATCAACCACCTGATCGTAGTAAAGGCAGCTCGCAGCTCCAAGGAGTTAATGTGCTCAGCACCTCCCTTCCACCGCCATCCAGCAACTTCTGCCCACTTCCACAGTTTGGCGGGAATGCTACTCCGCAAGCGGTGGTACTTTACAACGTGCTCTGATGGCGCCTGCAGCAGGAGATCCTCTCCCTTTACGGACACTAATCCTGCAAGCCTGCGTGACAGGCCCCCATCAGGGTATACCGTTGGCACCTCCCGACGCACAGGAGGGCGGCGCAGGATAGACTGCAGACTACTCCCAGCTCCAGGAGTCAGCTGGTCAACCACACCTTGAATAGACAACCTCGGTGCCAACCCCAAGCGTTCGAGGAGTTGCTTTACCAGGCACACAACCACCGGAACAGACCAGCTGTTGCCCAGAAGAGTTTTTCGGATATCCTCGTACCGCTGACCCACCCTTTCAGCCTTAGGAACACACTGCTGAGTATAGTTCATAGGGAAGCCCAAAATTACTTCCCTTTCGACAATTGATGCCACCCGAACTTCATGCTGAGGATGATGAACACCAAAGATCGCCTTATACTGATAAGGTGGGTACCTGTGAGCGTCGGCCTTCCAACGCCTCAAAGCACCCTCGTCACAGGTGTGGATCCCAGCTGGGCGTCGTCCTGGCATGTTAGACGGCCGAGACGTGGTAAAGGTCGCCAGCCGCTGCCCAGGTGGAACAAACCACCCTGGCTCCAGGAACTCCTTGGACATCACTTCTGCTGTGAGTTCGACAGGCGTTACCTTGGCCCAGCCTTGATGACGAGGAGCCAGGAGTTGCATTCCCTCTTCATTGCAAAGCTCCCAAGTCAACCAGTAGAGCCTTGGTCGCCGTGCCAAGCTGACTCCCGCAGCGTCGACCTGGTAAGGAGTAACCCCCACTCCCTCTGACATAGCAGTGCGGTCTGGTTCGTCCATTGATGCCACACTTTCCATGATAATGTGAACTTGGGCCCAAGGAAACACTTTTCGAAACAGGTCAGCAATCCGGGGAACCTCTTTGTAGAGACTACTCCGCACATCACGCTGGGATCCTTTCCGGTCTGAGTTCAAACCGCTAACCCCCTGACAGGGAGGCCCAGCCCCCAGGAGTACAACTCCCACCGAGCAGAAAGTACAAGCCCAATCCTTCACCAAAGTCTCGGACACCCCCTGCACAGTGGGCACCAGGATGGTTCCAGGGAAGAAGCTCTCTACCACACGGTTAGCATGGGCATTACATTCGACACTAATGTGCCCAGCAAGCGGCACCCGCAAAAGGTCCACCGCTACACGCAACGCCCCTATGCCGTCGAAGAGGCCCACAGTCAGTACTTGGATATCGTCGAAGGGTTCTTCTAACTCCCCCCTCACAGGAGCACCTTGCGCCCTCACCCCGAAAGAGGTGAGCCCCACACTGGCACAAATACCTCCCCCCTGAGAGGAGGCGTCACTCGCTGTAACCTGAGCATTCATGGGGGTCTGAAAATCCATCTGGGCTAGGGGCACAAGCGCACAGAAGCGCAAGATTTCCAATTTAACCTCATGAGGCACCACCCTCTTCACAACAGGAGGCTCCTTCTTCAGACTTTCAATATGCCCCCAGATTGCATTCAAGGAGGACAGGAGGGCACGGCGAAACATACAGATATACACCAAACCGCCAGCCACAACTTGTAGCTCCTTTTGACTAGCCCTCCCACGGGTTATAACCTCCCAGGCTAACCCCAAATACTTCAGAATCTTGCTGGGCCTAGCAAAAGCCACCCCCGCCTGTCCATCGATGTAGGCCCCAGACACCTCTGCAGTGAGGCTGCCCTGAACAGCCTTCTTGGGATGCCGCGGGAGCTCCAGCTCGGAGTACTGGTGCCGCATAGCCACCTGAGCGGGAGAGGGAAGGCCTTCAACCTCATCCACCAACGCTTTGTCGACCTTTCTGACCTCATCCCAGTTATCCAGATAAATTCTAAACATCTCCTTGGAAACCGTTGGGGGTCGATCACGTCGGAGTTCCTTGTGCCCCCCCACTCCCAGGGGATTGCTCCAACGGGCAACATTTCGGTGGATATGTTGGGCAAGCCCAACACTGTTGACGAATCCCATAGGTAAAACCAAAGACACCAAATGGCACACCTCACCCTTCCAACAAGTGGGCACCAAGAAGTCGGGAATCGGTTTCGAAAATCCCATCAGGGGCAACCAAGAAGGGGGAAGTCGAAACAGGTAGTAAAAACACTTAATGTCTTCACTGGCCAACATGGCAATCTCGGAGTCTTCCAAAAAGAACGCATTGAAGCCCGCAATGGTGGGCAACGTTCCCGTATCCCCTTGGAAAGTCCTCACCAAACGATTCGTAGGAATAAGATTCATGATAAGTCTATGTTGTTCCTGGTTATCAACAATCTCATTCTTCAGCACCGAAAATAATCCATTAAGAACAGGCTTGCTCCCGACATGATGAAGCTCCCGTTGAGGGAGGATCCCACAGATCTTGGCTTTCAGGAGCCCCCGGACAACATCGGGCCATTCTTCATCAGAGACCATCACTTTGGGAACCTTCCCCAACTGCTGCAAATCAGTAGGTAAAAGATAGTCAGTGAAATGAGTCACATACTGTTGACATCCCCCCACACAGAAAGCTTCCAGCTCCAAACTCCCCACTTCCGACGGGAGTGCACCAGAAATACTTTTCCAAGTGAAAGAACACGCCAGTTTGATTTCATCACCTCTATAATCGATACCTCTGGTCAAAAACAGTTCAGAAAAGGGGGTGTCAGGAACCTTCTCGTTAAGGGGCCACATGCGGTCCAGGAAAGCCAGAACGGTAGCTGCAACTTTTTTCTGCGCGTCGGTCACACGAGTGGCTCCAGCTTCGCCTACTCCATACATGGAGTTCAATCCCAAAAGGATCGCCGCCAACCAAGCTGCCTTCTCAGGCCCTACCTCTGGATACCCCGTCAAAGGCAATGGAAAAATAACATCCTTTGCCGTGGACAAGGTCTTGCGATGCTGCCTCTTCAAGACATGTTGCAGGGCATCCAGAAAATAAGGCCCAAGCTCTGAAAAAGAAAGTCCTGCCAGGCTAAGTTTCGTGTCTACCGCGCTACCGCAAAAGGTTGAAGAAAAATCAGCCCCCATCTTCGCAGGGCCTGCTGAATTCAAAAACTCTAAGCCATCCGGCCCAGGCAAAGGCGGCATCACGCTTGCCCTCGCCTCAGCCGGCAGTCCACATGCACCCTCACTCCAAGAGACTCCAGGTGGTGCCCAGCGCTGCATCTCGTCAAGTGGCCAGGCCCCACCCATTGCCTCTCGGTCAGGCGACTCCCGTGCCGCAGGAGTCACCCCTTCATCCAACCTCTCCTCTTCTTCTTCTAACCTGCCTCTCCTCTGAAGCTCAGGAGTCGTGCCTAACTCCCTTTGCTTTTCTTCTCCCCTCCTTTCTCGCCTTCGCCTTTCTTTTGATCGCCTCCTTTGCCTGACTTGCCTTTCCCGCCCCCCTTCTTGCCGCCAGAGCGGGGCCACTCCTCCGTCCTGTTGCCCCCCCCGACTCGAGTTCCATAGGGGCGGGATGCATCGCTCCTCGCCTTCCCTTCTTCCCTTGCCAGTCTGCTGGCCTCCTGAAACTCCTGAACTGAAGCCATAGATGTCGAGTCCTTCACCAACATCTCTTGCTGTTGCGCGACAGTGTAATGCACACCGTTCGACATCATTTCCAAACTCTTCAGACGTTGTGCCATCAAGTCCATGAGCTCGGATGGGCGGCCTCTCAGCATCAAGTCCAAACCGAAGGCCAGTGTGTGTGCCTCTCTGGCCATCGGTGGAGACATCCTGGAAAGGAGCTGATGCCGGTAATACCGACAGAACAGGGGCGGTAACGCCCCCTGCAAATTCCAGACACCCCCCTCCTGATTCACGAGGGTCTCTGAAATCTCCTCGAGGGCGGCTGAGCACAGCACACCCGGAAACTGCCGACCCACTTTGAGGGCCTTGTTGGTGGATCCGAACAAGGCCTGATCGGGCCCAGCCAGGCTGCTGGATGTCTCCTCCGAGGAGCCGCTGCTCCCGCTGGATCGCCCCCCCCGCTTCCGCTTGGCCAACTTGGCTGCCTTCCTCTTGAGACGCCTCCTGATGACAGGGTCGGGGTCCAGACCAGTATGCCGAAAGAGGGCGCCCAACTCCTTCTCCACCTCGATCTTGATCTCGGACGTCTTCCGCTTCTTCTTGGTTTTCTTTTCCTTCTTGTCCTTCTGCCCAACTTCGTCTCTTAGAGGAGGGCTGGGAGAGTAAGATTGCCCCCTCCCGATCTTCTCTGTCCTGCGCTTCCGCTGAAGTCGATCTCTTCGAACCTCCTCCATCTCGTCCTCTCCTTCGGCGCCTGCGCCGGCGTCCATCAGGTTGCTCATCCAGCTCTCTCGATGAGCACCCAACATGCGTAGCTTGCGCAAGTGCAGGAGCCCCTCGGCGTGGGGCGTCCCGGGACAAGTGGCTGGACACAAATGCCCTTCCATCCGACGGCCCGGAAGACCACTGGCCGCCTTGAGAAGCGACTCGTTCTGGGTACCCAGAACCTCCACAGCCATAGTCAAAGACCCATTCTTGATGCGAACCTCCAGCACCCGCAACACCGCCGTCACAGCTTCGGCCCAGTAGGTACCTTCCACGACCTCCACATCCTTGAGGTTCTGGCATTGATCCAGCGTAAGGTGAGCTGAATCCAAAACGTCAGCCTCAGGAGGCCCCTCCTCTTCAGGCTTTCCTGCAGGTCTCCTGAGGGCACCTCCCCTCACGCGACGAGGGGCAACAGCTGCTTTTGCCCGCCCTACCGCCGCAGGCCTCCTCAATTTCGGAGGCATCTACCTCCACTGGCGGTTGTTGTTGAAGTCCCTCTGGCGCTGCCTCTTCGAAGCGCCCTTATTCTTCCCGTAGTGCCTCCCTGATCCAGGTGGAGGCTCAGGGCGCCGCGCAGGAATCGGCCCCCGCCAGTGAGGCCCCTCTGGCCTATGTGTGGGCTCTGGACGCTCCCGATGCTCTCGGCGTGGGGGACTCCTAGGTGGAGTTCTGGGCGCTCGGACTGGAGACCTCCTGGGAGGCGATCTGGGTCTTCGGGTTCTAGGAGCGTCCCTAGGAGAAGAGCTGGCCTCCCTCTCCCTTTTTACCCCGGCTGGGCGGACTGGGCTGGCTAAAGGCGACTTGTCGGATCTCCTCCGCTGGCGACTGCGACTCGTTCGACGCCCGCTTCTTGACTTCTTGCTCCTCTTCTTTTCTGGATGCACAGGGGAGGCTGGAGATCGTTCAGCCTTGGCTTGAGGAGAAAGTCCACGGGCTGAAGAGGAGGGGCCACCTTTACCCTCCCCGGCAACTTCAGGACCACCGTCAAGTCCAACAGGGGGAATAGGACCGCCAGGAGCTCGACGGAAGAATTCAACCGCAGGGGGTACTGCTCCAGCCTTAGAGGTGGCGCCCGGCTCAGAATCGACAGGTGGTGGCACAACACCCGCTGCAAACTGGCTTAGGTTCACCTGAGGGCTAGGCACCACACCCCGGTGAAGTTCGCCCAAGTCCTGGAGCCTAGCCACCCACGACCGGAGTAGGTGCAGGAGTTCCTCCTCTGACTCCCTTGGCACCAACGGCCCCCTGGCCAGAGCAGCTAGGCGGTCGACAGTGCGGCACACACTGCACAACCCCCCGCCAACAACAACCCACTTCCCACCACACCCAAGACAGGTGGGTGGGGGCATTCGACCCTTTAAGCCAAAATGCTGTCAGAAAAAACACATGTGAGTCTTTAAACCCGAGGGCGGGGTTCCATATACGTATATGTATATATTGATGTACAAGTATAATGTTGTATGTATGTATATGTGGAATGTTTGTATGTATATATGCACTTATGTATGTATATATATATACACATGCGGTATGGGATAATATAAATTTTTTGTGTGGTTGATGTATGCTGCTACAACAGACACGCAGTTTTCCTTAAACCATGACACTCTCGCCGCAGTGACATGTATGTCTTCTGGAAAAATGCGTTTCTGAACTGAGCTAAGCTTATAAATTTTTACATCCGGGAAGGCTGAAACGATGCTAAGCCAGCTATGCTGGACATGGGGTTGGTCGGCAGGTGGGGGAACTTTCGCCAATAACCCTCACCGGGAGTTATACACACCCTGATGCTACCAGTACCTTAAAGTTGGTGTACGTTGGGCTAACAACATTCATTTTGAAGTTGCAAGTTGTCGACTTAACTCACATCACGCCGCTGAAGGCAAATCTTTTGTGGCAGGCGCTGTGAAAAACACTAGGCACATCACGCCGCTGAAGCCACATCACGAGCATTGTTTTTTGCAATGATTCATTGGGGACGCCAATGAATTCCGCAAATCACAGAAAGTGATTGAAATCAAGGAAACATCGCGCGCGCGCGCAGTCAACATGCACTTTTTCCTTGGAAATCACCTGCAAAAATCAACAAAACATTGCGCGCACGCAGTCATAATACACTTTTGCCTTAGCGTTGCGACGCGGTGCCGGTCGGAGCCAGCAGCAGCAGCAGCAGAAGCAGCAGAAGCAGCAGCAGAAGCAGCAGAAGCAGCAGGAGCAGCAGAAGCAGCACAGCACCAGCACAAGCAGCACAAGCAGCACAAGCTGCACAAGCTGCACAAGCTGCACCAGCAGCAGCACAAGCGCTCTGACAGCAGCACCTTGCAGTAGCACCCTGCAGCAACCAAGCTCCAAAGCGCAAACAGCACTCTGACAGCAGCGCCTTGCAGCGGCACCCTGCAATGGCACCAGCAACCCAGCTACAAAACGCAAACATGCAACTCTGCCTATACTTGAAGTAATAACCACAGTAGCTTCGCTATCTGGTGCAAAAAAAACCACACGAGGAAAAAAACCGACTATGGAACTAGGTCAATCATGGAAAAACCGAGCTGGTAAACCGGCAATCATGTATGATTTAGTACAAATTATCAAATCACAAGATTTGAGTAAAACTGTGTTTTGTATGGCGGGCGCCAATCAAGATGCGACTTCAACAAGAAGATGCGACTTAAGTCAAGACCCTAGCGCACACGCGACGGAGCCTTGTTTGGAGATGGTGTGAGGTTGGGCTCGGCAGTGTGCGGGCAATGGCAATCTCTAACTTTTTTCATTCCATCATGAAGTCCAAAGCACAACAAAGGGACTCAAGCCTGCTTGCTTGCCCATGTGAGCCTGCTGTTTTGTCAATGGGCCTGTAGAACCTGGAAGATAGACAATGTTTATGGAAGGTGTTTTCACTTGGCCTGCCGAGGACATTTGCTGCTTTTCAAACTTGCAACTATATATAATATATAGATGTGATAAGATCCTAAACACCTACAAAACCATACCGCCATCTATGAGCACCGGAACATGGTCCAGACTTGTCTCCCCTCATACTCGGATCGCTTGGCTACCGCCCATTCCGTTCTCCCTAAGGCCCTAAGCGCTTAGAAGCGGACTCCAAAGTTCTGCCGAAGATGACTTTTAATGTGTCACATCTCTTCCCCGGCTTGCCCAAACTCTTCTGCCCTTCTTTGCAGTGTACAAATGCTCTACATGTCACCAAAAGCTGGCACTTCCTTCACATCCTTTCAAACCTTACACTGGGACGAATTGTCGCTAACGTATACCAACGCTGAACTTACCACGCGGCATATTCGGGTCCCTTCGTAACGACAGCCGTTGGCACCAGAAGTATTAGTTTTGCCATGTGGGATACATATCCATATATCTGTATTTAAATACTATATTATATGACACAATGTGCAATATATTTGTATATAATATACACATTCTAGAGGAAAAATAGACCGCCGCACCGAGCGAAAACTTGATCAAGCTGGCAATTTCCTCTGGTTAAGTGCACGCAAAAAAAAACTCGGCACCTTCGGCGCAGGCAGATTTCACAATATTCCGGTCTATTCCCAGTTTGACTCTGTTTTTGAATCAGACATGAAACACAACAAGTTCAACTCATGAAAAAGTTTATCAAAAACCCACCTCGGCACCCTCTCCCTGTCGATCTTTGCCTGGTTCCATTGTCAAGTGTGGATGTTCACTCGATGCAATGAGGTGAATACCATGCCCTGGTGCCATGTCATGCCGGGCCTCCCTCTGACGCTTTGGGGAAGAGCCCAAAGACGTTGAGCGCCCGCGTCTTGGCGAGGACGATCTGAATCTGGACACGGAGCGCTGAGAGCGATGAGACCGCTGAGAGCGCAAAACTCGTGACAACTTGGGCGACTCCGGCGACTCAAGCGACTCAAACGTCGGGTCCTGGCTCTGGAGATCTACTGCAACAATGGAATCATACAATGTATGCATGCATGTAGGCACGTATGTATGCATGCATGTAGGCACGTATGTATGCATGCATGTAGGCACGTATGTATGCATGCATGTAGGCACGTATGTATGCATGCATGTAGGCACGTATGTATGCGTATGTATGCATGCATGTAGGCACGTATGTATGCATGCATGTAGGCACGTATGTATGCATGCATGTAGGTACGTATGTATGCATGCATGTAGGCACGTATGTATGCATGCATGTAGGCACGTATGTATGCATGCATGTAGGCACGTATGTATGCATGCATGTAGGCACGTATGTATGCATGCATGTAGGCACGTATGTATGCATGCATGTAGGCACGTATGTATGCATGCATGAAGGCCAGTTGTATGCACTTTCAAATGTAGGCACGTATGTATGCATGCATGCATGCATGTATGTATGTATGCATGTAGGCACGTATGTATGCATGCATGCATGCATGTATGTATGCATGCATGTAGGCACGTATGTATGCATGCATGCATGCATGTATGTATGTATGCATGTAGGCACGTATGTATGCATGCATGCATGCATGTATGTATGCATGCATGTAGGCACGTATGTATGCATGCATGTAGGCACGTATGTATGCATGCATGTAGGCACGTATGTATGCATGCATGCATGCATGCATGTATGTATGCATGTAGGCACGTATGTATGCATGCATGCATGCATGTATGTATGTATGCATGTAGGCACGTATGTATGCATGCATGCATGTATGTATGCATGCATGTAGGCACGTATGTATGCATGCATGCATGATGTATGTATTGCATGTAGGACGTATGTATTGCATGCATGCATGCATGTATGTAATGTATGCATGTAAGGCACCGTAATGTATGTATGCATGTAGGCACGTATGTATGCATGCATGCATGTATGTATGCATTAGGTGCACGTATGTAATGCATGTCAATGCATGCATGCATGTATGTATGCATGTAGGCACGTATATGCATGCATGTAGGTACGTATGTATGCATGCATGCATGCATGTATGTATGCATGCATGTAGGTACGTATGTATGCATGCATGTATGTATGCATGCATGTAGGTACGTATGTATGCATGCATGCATGTAGGTATGTATGTATGCATGCATGCATGCACGTATGTATGCATGCATGTAGGTACGTATGTATGCATGCATGCATGTATGTATGCATGCATGTAGGTACGTATGTATGCATGCATGCATGTATGTATGTATGCATGCATGTAGGTGCGTATGTATGCATGCATGCATGTATGTATGTATGCATGCATGTAGGTGCGTATGTATGCATGCATGCATGTATGTATGCATGCATGTAGGTACGTATGCATGCATGCATGCATGCATGTATGTATGCATGCATGTAGGTACGTATGTATGCATGCATACATGTATGTATGTATGCATGCATGTAGGTACGTATGTATGCATGCATGCATGTATGTATGCATGCATGTAGGTACGTATGTATGCATGCATGCATGTATGTATGTATGCATGCATGTAGGTACGTATGTATGTATGCATGCATGTATGTATGTATGCATGCATGTAGGTACGTATGTATGCATGCATGCATGTATGTATGTATGCATGCATGTAGGTACGTATGTAAGTATGTATGCATGTATGTATGCATGCATGTAGGTACGTATGTATGCATGCATGCATGCATGTATGCATGCATGTAGGTACGTATGTATGCATGCATGCATGTATGTATGCATGCATGTAGGTACGTATGTATGCATGCATGCATGTATGTATGCATGCATGTAGGTACGTATGTATGCACGCATGCATGCATGTATGTATGCATGCATGTAGGTACGTATGTATGCATGCATGCATGCATGTATGTATGCATGCATGTAGGTACGTATGTATGCATGCATGCATGCATGTATGTATGCATGCATGTAGGTACGTATGTATGCATGCATGCATGCATGTATGTATGCATGCATGTAGGTACGTATGCATGCATGCATGCATGTATGTATGCATGCATGTAGGTACGTATGTATGCATGCATGCATGTATGTATGCATGCATGTAGGTACGTATGCATGCATGCATGTATGTATGTATGCATGCATGTAGGTACGTATGTATGTATGTATGCATGTATGTATGCATGCATGTAGGTACGTATGTATGCATGCATGCATGCATGTATGCATGCATGTAGGTACGTATGTATGCAGTGCATTTCCCACTTTCTTCAAATCGCAATTGCCCAGCCTCTGTCCACCCCAAAGAAACTGTTGGTCACAGTTAACACACTCCTTGTAGCAAGCTATCAGCGTGGTCTTGCTTTGGAAAGTCGAAGCAGTGAGTGTCTTATATATTTTCTCCC